CACAGCTCTTTCAAGACGAACTCCCCACACCCGTCACATCCGGGAACCTCCACTCCAGCATTATCATCAAGAACGGCTGCAATGAGATCATGGAGGGGTTCTCTGTTGCGTTGATTCAGCATCCTTTCTCCGATTGCCGTCGTCATCATGGCCACGGCGTTGGGAGCACTAACGAGGTCGAACGTAAAGCCCAAGTTGAGGAAGCGGTCCGCCTCCTCCCTGGTAGACCCCGTGCGCTCCGCAAGAAAGCTGATGGTCGGTGGGAAAGCTGATGGTCGGCGGGACCTGCCTCGACGCAACAGAGGGAGTGCCATCACCCACCGGCAGGGGGGCGTCGCTTGTCCCACCTATGCTCAGGGTCGGGCTCGATCGGCCGCTGGCAGTGCCGACCGTACTTGTGGCCGGGCTCACTCGGCCACTTGCACTGCTGGTTGCCAGTTGGCTCGAGAAGGCAGAAAGCTCGGCGTCGCCCATGGCCAGGGCATCTCCAAACGATGTAGCCTTGGCGCCTGGCCCGCACAGCCTCAGGCTCTGGTTCACCGCCAACGATCCTATGGCGGTGTTCCTGGCGGTTTCGTCTGCCTGCTTTTTCTTGCTTTCTTTCGAGTCGTGTTTTGCAGCAGCCTTCGCGTGAACGATCGCGGTCAGGACTTTCTCCTGCGCAGAAAATGGCGTACGAATGACCAAGGGAGGGCGTGGCAGCGGCTTCAGCTCAGTATCACCCCATGCGAGGCGCGACAATAATTGTTGTCTGTGGTCGTCACCCACGCTTTCTTGCAGCGTCAGTCCCGAACAAGCGCCGAGCCGCGGGACAGGTGTATTTTTTTCGCCCAAAGATACTGGTCAGTTTCACCTAAATATCGTGCCTGCTTGAGAAGTTGTGTTCGTCGGCTGAAGTATCGGACGGGATTGGGGGGATTGTGCTCGTACTCTTTAGCTGCTACTGTACCGAACTGTACTTTTCAGCCCCGTCGATATCGCTAAATATTTATCGGGTTCAAAATGATTCATTTTTTTCGGGGTCCCGTGATTGCGCTCTGGTTTTGTTGTGCCCATTGTCATGGTGTTAGGTGTCCGCAGAGTGTGCAAAGCTTCAGACTTGACGCTACGTAGGTATTTGGTGGGGCCTCACTGTGTGCACCCGCCAAACGACCCGCCATGTCGGGATCGGGATGGCGGGCTTGCACCACAAAAACCGCTGTGGCGTTCGGAAAAGAGTCTTATCTATCAATGCCTCTCACCAGGTCGGCCTTTGTCTTCTTGTCTGCTTCATCTTCCGAACCACTGTCGGCAGTACCAGCTCCGGAGTCCCGCTGGGCTTGAACATTTCTCTTGCTCTGCACGTCGTCAAGCTTATCGAGACGCGCATTGCAGGGTTTCGACCGCTTGGCGCCGAACACCCTGACGAATGGCTCCTCACTGGTAAGGTTGGCCCAGGACTTGTCCCACCTCGCTCACCGTCTTCCCACTCCCCGGCACTGTCCAGACTTCAAACTTCAGACCTGTGGCGACCAAGGGCATGTACCGTATATGACACAAGATAACACACCTGCTGGACCGATGTTCGAAGCTCGATTACTCCACGACGAAAGGATGCATAAACGAAATGATACATTTTCGAAAAGCTCTCGACGAGACGGTTTCAACGCCACCGTTTTCAGCGCTGTGACCGTTCCGGCAGTTGAGAAATCGAGTTTCAAAAATCGGTCAAGGGGGTGTGTTATCTTGTGTCATGTACGGTACGCAGGGCATGATGTGGGCGTCCGCTCATGAAGTTGTTCGAGACTTGATTACAGGACATTGTTGACACGAATCTCCGAACACTAAGCGTAGGCAGTAAGAACGCTCGACCCAAAACGAGGTGCACTTCAGAGGGAAAACTTATTCAATTCTCGTTGTCTCACGGGCGAGGACATGGTTGTTTCTTGTTCAGGAGACCCTACCCACAGCAGCATGTTTTCCTCGAGGTATGTTGTAGTGTTTTAGGAGTTTTTTCCGCGCGCGAAGCGCGCGTGCGAAAAAAGAAACGGAGCGATAGCGGAGTTTTTTTTCGCAAAAAAACTGTTTTAGATGGGTCCTTTTGTTTCCCCGCCTGCGTTCTGCGCACGTTGAATAACACCGCCTGTCAGCCCGACCCCTGAATTAATTACTGTTCTCAAATTNTCCGTTTCATCGATAACTGCGCCAATTGGCGACGTTCTGCAAAAAAAACGAGTGCCCAAGCCTACTCCTAATAGGTGAACACTTCTCGCGTCGTTGTTCCCTTGCTTCAACCCCTAAGTCACTCGTTCACACCCGGTTTGTCCTCGCTTTGCGGCATCCTTCAACTGTCATTTGGGACACGTGTGTGTCGGTTTGGTTGTGCTGCTACGTGTGTGTCGGTCGGTTTGTTTCTGCTGCTGCTGTGTTCTGTTTTTGACCTCGTCCACACCGAGTGGCCAACTTTGGCACGTGTTCAGACCAGCTACCACGCATCTCCTCCTCTACAGCTCGCGGCTTTCACTATCTGCATATCACAGAGGGTGTTCGCGTGTGGTTTGCAGACCACGACAGGGCGTAGTGAGGAGGGGCTCGCGATCGGCGACAACTCGCGTGCTAGTTCAAATATTCTGCTGCTGCTGTGTTCTGAGTGGTGGGGCATTTTTTTCTACTTCTTCATTTATTAACGCATACGGAGTGCTGACAACAACGATTCGCATCAACAACATCGCATCAACAACATTTCGGGTGTGTGTACCAAAACAAAAGCAACACATATTCACGGGGGGCGCACGACCCAGCCTACTGCAGGTACTTTCCGCAGCACGAGTTATGCTGTTGTGATGGTGCGCGCGGAAAAAACTCCCCCCACTCGGGGTCTAGTATCTTTTATCCGCATCGTAGGCCTTACTAACAGCAGTTCCGGACGAAATGCGACATCCCTCATTAGACTACTCCACTAACCCCCGTGTTGCGCATGATACAGCCGTGTAAACAAAACAGGAAGTCTATCGAATGTATGTACAACGTGAATGTACAACAGTGTGAAGTATATCTGCACTTCTACATGATGCAAGTTTGGGACACCGATGCAAAAAGCGCGCCGTTTGTATTGCATTGGAGGGTCTGCGTGCGGTTCGCTACGCTCCTACTCCTGAGGAGATTGCAGCTCCTGCTGCTGTTGTGTACTGCTGTGCTTCGTGTGCGTGACCCTTTGCGCGCGCGGCACGTGCGGCGGGCGGTATACTTTGAATTCAAATCAAACATGCCAATATGCGCTGTGTGTTTTGAGTTCAGACATATCTTCATTTTTTGGGTGTTTGCGCGCATCTATCTCTGTACACCCCTGACCCAGCAAAACCCAGCAAAACAAACCAGTACCCGGGCGTGCAGTCTGCCCTCGCTGACGGCCGTTGCATCGGCGATGTGGCGTTCGGCAACGGGGTTCGAAAAGGGCACTGGCACCGTGAGAGCAGTCAACGTTATGTACCACATCCACCAACATCACCTGCAGCACAACAGACAACTTCTGCCATCCACCGCCGGCAAGAAAAACTAAAACTCACCTTGTTGCGCCAGCATTAGATCGTAGCTCGGGTTCCATATCTTGCTCTTCCTCGCCTTCCTGGCCTTCTTCGCTGTGGGCGCTGCTGGTCTGGGCGCTGCTGGTGCGTCCACTGCTACCACATTCTCGTCGTCGTCTCCCAGAGACTCCTCTCCCCCGTCTGCCTCAGTCTCACTGGCGCGTTGCTCAACTAAGCCGGCAAATCCCTCGGCGGCCTTCTGGCGCGCAGACGCTCCTCTCCCGAGCCTAATCCCAGCCTCTACGGCCTTTGCCGAGGGTGCTGGGGTTCTCTTGCTAGCCCTTGACATGTTCGTGGTGCAGACCGGGTGTGCGTCTGCTAATTCAGGTTTTTCCAACACTTTTTCAGATCGAAGCGGCTTTCGCGCCGCTTCGATCGGAAGAAAAAATCGATTTAGGACCGTTTTAAACGGACCGACTTTTTTGTCAAAATTTTCGACAGTTGTCTTTCAAAAACTTGGAACCTGTGTGCAGTCATTTTAAACGTGTGACGTAGACTTGTGCAACTTGTGTAAAAAAAAATGACGCCGTCCGTGAGTTGTAGCGCTCATTTCGAGACAACACAGACGACACAACACAAACCGCGGAAAACACGACATCATGGACACCGACATGGATATCACGACCACCCAGCGTGGCCGGCAGACCAAAACCCCGGCGAAATTCCAGCAGACGGGCTCTCTCGGTGCCGCCGTAGGCGGTGGAGGCTTGCTCTCCAGCAAGATAGTGCTGCTGCCTGGCATCTCGGGGAACACTCATGTTACCACGGGAGGCGCTGCCGCCACCAACACTCCGCCGGCGAGGGGTGGCAACCACTGCTCCTACCCCCCCGGGAAAAGGAAAAAACAAAGCGGCGGACGCGAAGCAACAACTGCAAGCCATCATGGCGGACCGCCGTTTTTTTTTTTGTATTGCGCGTGCCCGTGGGCGAGGAGAGCCGCTCGAATCTGTAGGCGCGCCGCGCTTTCTACGGTCGGCCATGACCCACACACAACCCTAGCTGACTTTCTACGGTGAGGGGCACTCGTGGTGCAGACGCAGCAGCCCTCGCGTGCCTCTGCAAGGGTACTTTGGAAAGTGCTCCAAATACTTTGAGAGGGTTGTCAAAAAGTTGGAACGAAGTGGAGCAAAGTTTTCGGGCCCAACTTCGTTCCAAATATTTTGAAAAAATATGGACAAACGCCTACATACAGGTTCCATTTTTTTGACACTTTCAAACATTTTGACAAAAAGTCGGTCAGTTTAAAACGGCCCTTAGGGTTGTTAAATCTGGAAATGTCGACACTGCTGTCAAGAGCGTTCCCCAGAACGCCGGCTTAAATCTGCTTTTCCCTCATAATTCAGCTTCCTTTAATATTTTTTTTGAGTCCGAAACTGTCAATTCTGGGATTCGACCTCCCGCTCAATAGTAGACGTTAGAATCTGTCGAACTCACCAGTCTTAAAGGCCACCAGGCTAGCAGGATCTGACGATGAATGCTCGCCACGTACCAGGTGGTGGGCTGTTGGCACTGCCCACGCTGCACACCAGGCGCTCAATGAAGGGAGACTCCGCAAACAAAACTGTACCCTCCCCTGTTCAGTTTAAATTGGCAAACCTCGGAGCCCCTCGAAAAAGGCTGCACATGATATGCATATGATGACCGCACATTATCGTTGTGGGGATGCTTAGGAAGAGGGGACCTCTATTGCTAGCTACGCTGCTTCAGCAGCCGTGTTCTCACGGATTTGTTCACCTTTCCACGGTGGGTAATCGCGTACAACACTCAACGAGCTCGGCACTGCCGTCTGCCTGGACCGCCATGGGGCCTAAGAGAGGTCAGCCTCACAAGTCACACGAAACTGTTTAGCTTGCTTCGCGCCTGGAACATGTATGCGTTGCACACCGAGCGGCAAATGTAAACAACAAGAGAAAAAGCTTCGTGTCAGAAAGCTTGGTTTTAACGCTAAACAAACTACAGCACCATAGTAGTCAGTAGTCTACATATTCAACTGCCCCACAGCCACTTCAAACGCGGACCGAAATGCGGCGGAACCTCGTGGTCTCCCGTACTACTCTGTACCTTGCTGCCTGTACAGTTGTAATGGGCACACAGCTGCTGACTAGATATGGAGGGGTAATGAGCCGCGGGGACTCGAACCTGCAGTAGTCTACTTGCGATGGTTTTTCTTTGGCAGAGTCAATCATTGTGAAATTGAATCCGAGTCATCGACAAAAAAAAACTTGGAAGTACAATGCTGCATTTTGTATTCGAGTGCACAACCCTGTGCCGACGTCGTAGACCTACGCATAAGACGACTTCGTGCGGGCTCAGAGGGCTCGCTAGATTGCAGCGTTGGTAATCCTGGCTCACTTGTGGCTCTAAAGCCTTTTTCCCCCCAGTTTCTACGCCCCTAGACCTCAGTTTGCCAATTGGCGCCTGCCGGTAAAATTTTGAGCCGCGAGGGAGGGGCCTCGGACGTGTACGGCTCGCTATCGGGGCGGCATTCGCGACGCTCTCACGAGGCAGAAAGTAGCGTCTCCGAGACATACTACGACTCCACCAAGCACAGCCCGGTTTGTTAAAAAACAAAGAGACCAGGCCATTCATACCTTCGGCAAGCGGCTGAGGTGTTGCGTCTGGGCGCTGCTGGCAACACACCCTCAACGCACGCAACAAACAAAGTCTGTCTCCGCAGGACGCGAGACAAGGCACCCGACTGCTGTAGTGCGTCTCCCCGCGACGAAAAGCAGGAGGGCCGTGGCCGATGTCGTGTGCCCAGCACAGCGGCCTGTAAGTACTGCTATACACAACCGCCCGGAAGCAGAAAAGGTGCCGTGTCTACGTCGTTGTTCCATGGTGTATATGGTTGTTTTTCGTGATCACATCAGTGGCGCGGGCGCTGGTGCATTGAGAGCCTAGGCAAGGATTCGAATGTTCGAATCCGCGTTTAGAGCCACATGCGGACGGATGCCACCAAGCTTCTAGCTAGTATTGTTTTCTTGTCAAAAAACCAAAAGATCTTGTGGCTGCTGTAGAAGGGCGAGAGTAACAGGCTCCATATTCCACCAACATACGAAATGCTAGAGTTATCTGATTCCCCCCAAAACCCTCGGGAAGCGCATCTAGCAGTACCGATGTTTGACGAGTGCTGTGGGGTTTTGCCCTCCTGATACCGCATACAAATTACTTTTACTTCGAAGTACTTGCTGCGGTTATTGCTGGGATGATATTCAAGGGACAAATAGATTATGTGCAAGGGGTGCTTCACCCGCCCCCCACGGGGGTCGGTCTTGGCGCAATACCCGTATGTAACAAAATGGAAGTCTAATCTTCGTCGTTGGCAAGATCGGCAAGTGGTGGAAGTAGATCAAGGATCGGATGGAGTGTGATGTAAGCATAGGCAGATGCGTATGCAGACATACACGTCACAAGAAAAGAAACATAGATGCAGCTTCGCAGGTTCGCAACAATGGAGGAAAACAACTGTAGACTTATTTCTTCCGTAGAATAATCGGAATTCCAGTTCGCATTCTCGTTGGCTGCTACGGCTGGTGTGATACGGCGGTGCCACCTCGTTCGTTGGTGCAGGGGGGTACTGGCAACGCAAGAAGGACGAAAGGTCGAGATCCTTCGCCAAGCGGGGGAGGGTAGGAGGGTGGGGCGACTACGGTCCAGATGGACCTGTGAAGGCGGGATCTGGCAGTCAAACGGAAGGTGACGTCAGTGCACCGAGAAACTCTGTTCTGGCCTGCCGGCTAGCGCTTTGGAGAAGCAAGTATTATCTGATGATCGGCTGAAACGGCAGTAAGTATACACGATTTGGGATGATGCGTTCTTGGCAAGAAACACACGCAAAGTCTTGAAGCCTTGGGTTCACGACGCGTTTTCAGCACCTCGCACAAGGAGAAGGATGGCATAACAAATCGACCTGAAAAGCTTATGTCCAGACTGTAGCCTAGGGCTTTTGTTCAAGCCCAGGGGACATGCACAAGAGTTCGCGACCGATAGCACGTAAATTGTAGCGCCAGCACCAATGATAACGGTAGCTGGGTTTTTGAGCGGACCCAGCCCGTAGATGAGGATACACTACACTATAGCGTCTATTGCTAATAGTGGCACACGCGCACGTACCTGAATCGCACACAGCACTCCCTGCGTTCTTGATTAATGTAGCACTAGGGTTGTCACCCGGATGAAAAAACTGGAACCGGGTACCCGGAGGGGTCTTTTAGGGTGGAACCGGCGGGTAACAGGGAACCCGGATACTAGGGGCGCGTTGACCTCGGGGGGG